TTCTTCTCCCCCCCTTCTCCCGACCCGCCGCACCCGTTACTTTTACGTTGCACTTTACATTTTTGGAGCCATTTTTTTTTTTTTTTTTTTTCGCGGTCGTTTTTTTTGGGACTACCGGTCGCCGGTCGGTGGGTACCCCGCCGGCGCGGCACGTTAACGGCCGCGTCGGATTTTCCAAGCATGGAGATACCTGCTATACCCAGGACTAAGGTGGACCAAGGTTGGTACCACAAAATTGCAGTTATAACGAACTATCGGAATACACAAATTATGGGCATAACTGGGACTGAGGTGGACCAGCCAAATTATTCATATACCCTTCTACCGGTCGGCTGAAATTATGTTCATACCCAGCAGCCTTTGGGTCACAATGGTCCATCTTGTGGGGGCATACGAGCACAATTCTGTGGTCCGCTAATGCCTGCACCTGACTGTGGGTACACCCGCAATTTTTCCAGCCCTTGTGTGGGCATGGGCGTAATTTTGTTGTCCAAAGCTGAGGGCCTGCATGAAAAGTCGGGTACTTTGCCAAAGTTGAAGGGGGTCCCGGTGTAGATGGGTATAGATGCAAGTTGCGCGCTGGGACTGGCTATAGCGGATATTCCCATCTTTAAGTCGGGGGGTACAAATGCAAATTTACACCCCAAAAAAGAAAAAACTCTCTTCCTGTAGCCCCCACAAACTCCGACAGGCCCGTCGCGGGGCGGTGCAAATGTTTACTACCTCTCCCTGTCCTTCTGTTTTTTTCTCTCTCTCTCCTTCTCCCTCTCCCTCCATAGCAGAGCTCTGCGAGCCTGGTATCCCACACACATCGTCACGCCTGCGCAAGCCACGTGTCAGCTAACGGAGCGGCTTGCGCGGTAAGAAGAACCCACGTGCGGCTTGCTGGGGAAAAAGAACCCAGGTGCGGCTTGCGCGGGAAAAAGAACCCACGTGCGGCTTGCGCGGGAAGAACCCACGTGCGGTGTGCGCGGCAGGTGAGCTTCGACCACCCCTTCTAGGGCCTCGGTTCTTTATTTTCGTTTCTTTTTTTAAAACTAAGCTATCGCTTTAATTTTTTTTTTTTTTTTTTTTTTTTTTGGGGAAGCTATCGCTTTAACATGCCCTCGCTATTGACGTATTATAGAAATCGTCAAAACACCCTGCCCGGTAAACCGTAGGCCGAGAGGGTCATCCACGTGGCTGTGACAGACTCTTCTGCCTTCTCCCTCCCTCTCTGCGCAGTGCCTACGGATTACCGGGCAACGAAAGACCCCTTCTTGCTAGACTTCGGCCATTACGTCCGTCTTACTTCCCTTGTTCTTTTTCCTTGTTAATCTTGCTTTTTTTTTTCTATTCTTTTTTTTTTTCGTTTTCCTTTTTCGTTTTCCTTTTTCGTCAAATTCCATTATCGCCTACTTTCTTCACCCCGTTCATAACTTCTTCCATCTTCATCTTCATCTTCATCATCATCATCATCATCATCATGAACAATCATCATCATCATCATCATCATCATCATCACAATCATCATGATCATGAAAAATCATCATCATCATCATCATCATCATCGTCATGAATACCAGCAAAGGCAACTGCTATCGTGATTAGACGAGGAGATTTGAGAGGATTCTGTCCGCATATGCGTCCAAATACGTGCAGGAGAGCCATATACCCCAACTAAACTACCATCTTTGCGTCGGCGACCCGAAGATGGTAGCTGGGGTATCTGTTCCCTGCGTTTCACAAACTATTGGCGTCCAAATACAGTACGAGTTTAGTGCCCTTCCTAGTTGATACGTTCATAGGGTTGTTGTCCTCTTCTCTCTGTATGTTTGCCATTGCTGACCTTGTTCTATTTTTTGCAAATAAGATAAGAACATTGCTGGCATGATAGGAGGTTCCAACCACCACTTCTTGAGCAACTCGGGTATGTGAAACGGGGTTTAGTGCCCACAACGATCGTCTATGACATCCTCGGCCTTTTCCTGCTCTGTCTCCTCTTTCTCCTCCTCCTCCTCCTCATCCTTCTCGTCCTCCTCCCTGGCATCCTCGTTGTCTTCCTCCTCCTCCTCTCTGGCATCCTGGTTGTCTTCCTCCTCCTCCTCCTCCTCCTCCTCTTCCTTTTCTTCCAGGTCCGCCCTCGCATCCTTGTTGTTTTCTCCTCCTCCTGCTCTCTTCCTCCTGCTCTCTTCCTCCTGTCTTCCTCCTGTCTTCCTCCT